TATATATATATATATATAAAACAAAAAGTACCGATAAGAATACCGTTAAAGTACAGAATCGATAAGCAGTATCCGTAAGAGTAGTAATACCGTTAAAACCTTAACGATACCCATCCCTAATCCTGAGTCTTTTTCATTTAATATTTCAACAGCGACAACTTATTATTTCTTCAAGCTTGTATGAGATGTTGTTTTTACAATTCATGAATCTTATAAAACGATTCTCATGATTTTCTCATGATTTCCTGCACAGAACCTGAATTTGATCAGTATGCTGGTGGACAATGCAACTATAGGAGAATGGAACTTGCAGGGTCTCCCCAACGATGACCTGTCCATTCAGAATGGCATCATCGTAACAAAAGCTTCTCGTTATCCTCTGCTCATTGATCCTCAGGGCCAGGGCAAGATCTGGATCAAGAACCGTGAAAATAATAATGAGCTACAGGTACTGATTTGATACCAGTTTTAATCTAATTTGATTAAAGTTTGATTATATTATCATTACTGTAATTATCGGTGTAATTAAATCAATCAATGTAGCAACTTTGAATTAGTGCGATTTAGCTAAAAAAATTAAGCAAAAAGTCACTGCAACTATGTCAGCTACAATCCCCCCCATCAGGTGACATCACTAAACAACAAATATTTCCGAACTCACCTGGAAGACTGCCTGTCCCTGGGCAAACCTTTGCTCTTAGAGGATGTTGGGGAAGAGCTTGATCCAGTGCTAGATAACATACTGGAGAAGAACTTCATAAAGTCTGGAAAAACTTCTAAAGTAAGTCATGTGACTTCATGAATACATTCTGTAATTTTTTTTTACATTTCTAAACTTAATGCGATACTAGACACATGCCCGGTCTCAAAATTCTCTGGGCTTTAGAAGACTAAGCTAAGACATTTTCTCTTGTGTTAGGTAAAAGTCGGGGACAAAGAAGTGGATGTAATGGATACATTTACTTTGTACATCACAACTAAACTAGCCAACCCTGCATACAGCCCAGAAATCAATGCTAAGACAGCAGTGGTGGATTTTACAGTTACCTTGAAGGGTTTGGAGGACCAGTTACTTGGCAGAGTCATTCTCATAGAGAAAAAGGCAAGTCTGAGACAGTGTTATTTTAGTATCATAATATACTATTATAGTTTTTATTTATATTTTGAATTAATTTTAATATTTTTCATTTCAATTTTTGTCAAAGCTTTAGTCCTTTTATTGTCAGTTTTGTTTTTGTCTGTCATTTTTCATTAATTTTTATTTCAATTTTAGTTTGAGAGCAACTAGTTCAAATAAAATAGTATTGTATATGTATACCAGTGCTTCTCAAAGTCCAGACCCATCTCCATTTCGTATTTTAGGAGCACTAATTATTTCCTACTTTGATAAACGCATGTTAAACTTGTAAATCATTTGTTTAGTTTTTTTAATGTCTTTTTGGAGATGGTCCGAAATGAAAGCGAAGGCGAAATATTGAAACTTTTCCTTCTTGATATTTGTTGTCATGACATCTAGTGAGCGTATGACGTTTGACATAATCGGGCGACATTTCACTGCTAATATGAGTAATTTTTAATTTATTTATTTTTGTTATCACTTAGATTATGGACATTTGACTTATAGCAGTGTCCAGTGTTTCCCATACATTGAGTTATTTGTGGCGGCCTGTTCTAAAATCAAAACTGACCGCCACAAATAGATTTTCCAAAAGGATTCTACTTCGTTGAATAAACTGAGCACTGCACGTTTCAAAATTAAAATGCAGAGCGGATGGTTTTATATGAATGAATCATTGAAAAGAACCGACCGTCTTCAGAAAAGCTTTGATGCCATTTTCATTTCGTCTTTCCTAGCGTTTGTGAGTGCAGTGCTTATGGTTATTATGGGGGCATATTTTGGGGCAGTCATGGCCTAATGGATAGAGAGTCGGACTTGTAACATGAAGGTCGCCGGTTCGAGTCTCAGGTCCGACATTGTAGATGCAGGATTGTAGGTGGGGGGAGTGAATATCCAGCGCTCTCTCCACCCTCAATATCACGACTGAGGTGAGACCCTTGAGCAAGGCCCCAAACCCCCAACTGCTCCCCGGGCGCCACAGCATTGGCTGCCCACTGCTTCCGGGTGTGTGTGTGTTTGTTCACTTCTCACTGATGTGTGTGTGCACTTGGATGGGTTAAATGCAGAGCACAAATTCCAAGTATGGGACACCATACTTGGCCACACATCAGGTCCTTTCCTTTCCTTATTTGATTACAGCCGTTACCGGGGAAACTGCTATATGTCTGCTCCAACAGACATTAATTTGCATTTGCAAGTCTGTGGGAAACACTGGTGTCTGTCAACAAACATAAACAAAAAGCATGCTTCAGAACTGTTTTGAGAAGGTGCTTTGAGCTATGTATTATTACTATGAATTAGGCTACTACTACTATTACCATCTTGTACCCTGCAATAATCTTGTGACCTCTATTGCTGACTAACCAGAGGCCTGTTCTGCCTTTCTGAGGTGTTAGGTGCATTTCGGGGGAAGGGTCCATAGACCCTCGTAATTGGCCATTTGGTTAGGTGATGGGGAGTTCGATATTATTTGTTAAATATAACAAAAAGTTGTGTGTCTGATTGGTCCAAATGCTACAGTTTTAAGTAACTATAATAACACTGGTCTGATATACATGTTTTAAATCTAAATAAATTAACTAGATATTGAAGTCAGAAGTCAGAAAGAGTTTTATTGCCTAGTATGTTTGCATTTATGTTTGAATTTGTTCTGGTGACAGAAGCTTCCAGTACACAGAGATAACAACAAAAATGTGCAATCAATCAATCAATAATGTAGCTTTTAGATGTAATATTGATTTAATCAATTATTTTCCAATCAAGGAAATGGAGGCTGAACGTGTGAAGCTCTTGGAGGAAGTGACATCGAACAAGAGGAAGATGCAGGATTTGGAGAGCAATCTTCTGTACAAGTTAACCAGCATTCAGGGCTCTCTAGTGGAGGATGAGTCTCTTATCGAGGTGCTCAGAGTCACCAAGACTATAGCACAGGAGGTACTTTCTTCAATTGTAGCCATGTACTTTTAAGCTGATTTATAAAACTGACTTACAATTGTGTTTTGATAGCTAAAATCTCCTGCCATCCCCTAGGTAAGTCAAAAGCTAGCAGTTGCTGCAGAGACTGAAATTAACATCAACCACACTCGAGAAGAGTACCGTCCAGTGGCCACCAGGGGGAGCATCCTCTACTTCCTGATTGTGGAGATGAGCCTGGTCAATGTGATGTACCAAACTTCACTACGCCAGTTTTTGGGCATCTTTGACATGTCGATGGAGAAGTCGCCAAAGTCCCCCGTTACAGCTAAAAGACTAGACAACATCATGGAGTACCTCACATTTGAAGTCTTCCGCTATACTGCTCGGGGACTTTATGAAGATCACAAGTTCCTCTTTACACTGCTTCTGACGTTGAAAATAGACTTACTGGCCAAAAACGTTTCCCATAGCGAGTTTCAGACCTTCATCAAAGGTTTGATCCATAATGTTTTGCAGATAATGTTGTGTACTTTCAGTTTGCTGATTATCTCAATATCACAATTCATTTGAACAGCATTTAGCTTCAATTTAATCAGATAACAGCACACAGAAGCTACAATTGATGACCATTCAATACGTCTTGATATCCCCCACAATTCCCTGTAATACAGTCCATTTAAGAACTTATTTCAGGCCAAGTAATTATTTTTATTATTTTTTTTACCTTTTTTCAGGCGGAGCATCTCTAGACTTAAACTCTGTCGAGCCCAAGCCAAGGCGCTGGATACTGGACACAACATGGCTAAACTTAGTGCAGTTGTCCAGCCTGCCTCCCTTCACTGCTCTCCTAACCCAGGTGGCCCGCAATGACCGTGCCTGGAAGAGCTGGTTTGATGAAGGCACTCCAGAGGAGACTCCTCTTCCTGATGGTTATGACAGCCAACTGGATGCATTCCGCAAACTGCTGCTAATACGAAGCTGGTGTCCTGACCGCACCATTGCACAGGTGCATGAAAATCTTTTTTCTGGGTTTAAATACTTTCTTAAGATGCAGAGCAATGTTATTTTAGTGACATTACTGTACTGTTTTAGTATTGACAAATGTTTTTATGAATATTACTTTTTATTTTTAAATTTTTAGTTTTCCTTTTAGTTTGAAAGTTGTAATTTTTTGCTTCAGTCATTTTTATTAGTTTTTGTTTTCTAAAATATGTCTTGTTTTCATTGATTTTTATTTCAGTTTTAGTTTAGTTATTTTCATTCTGTAGTTTTAGTACTTTAACTTAAGTGAAATTTTATTTTTTATTTAATTTTTTTTATATTCTATATTATTTCTGTTAACATTTAATTTATTTAAATTAACACATTTTTGTAGTTTTAGTTTTAAGTAGTAATAATAATAGCACTGATGCAGAGTCAAATATATTGGTTCTACAGAGGTTGATTCAACATTGCTCTGTTTGTTATAGAACCAAATCAAGCTAATTTGGGGTTTTAAGATATCTTTAGACAAATATTGCAAACTTCATATAAAATAGTATAAAATAGAAAAAAATTATAAAATAGAAAACTGCAGATGAATTAGCATTTTCAAACGGGTAAGAACCTCCATTCACCCACCTTTTGTTAAATAACGACAAGTGGAGGTACTTTTTTTTATTATGATAGGGTCCCTTCTATTAATATTTTTTACTTTAAACTATAGGCTAACATACCAGTCAAAAGTTTTTGAACAGTAGGATTTTTAATGTTTTTTAAAGAATTCTCTTCTGATCACCAAGCCTGCATTTATTTGATCCAAAATACAGCAAAAACAGTAACATTTTGAAATATTTTTACTATTTAAAATAACTTTTTTATTTGAAAATAATCATTTATTCCTGTGATTTCAAAGCAGAGCTTTAGCATCATTAGTCCAGTCACATGATCCTTCAGAAATCATTCTAATATTCTGATGTGCTGCTCAAAAAACATTTATTATTATGATGTTGAAAACAGCGGAGTAGATTTTTTTCAGGTTTCTTTGATGAATAGAAAGTTCAGAAGAACAGCATTTATCTGAAATATAAATCTTTTGTAACATTATAAATGTCTTTATTATCACTTTTGATCAATTTAAAACATCCTTGCTAAATGAAAGTAATAATTTCTATAATATAAATTTTAAAAGAGCTTTTGAAATCAATGCATGGGAAACACTGGTAATGTATATCGAAATATCGTAAATGTGTTTAAAAATCATATCACCGTTATTGAAAAAAATTATATCGCGATACATATTGATATTGAATTATTGTCCAGCCCTACTTCTGACCTTTACAATATACCAGATAAATATTTATATTTTGTGCTCATAGTATGTTTGTACTCATACTTTGCTGTCTGATATCCAAACCTGATAAATGAGAAGAGTGCCTACTCCAATCTTTTGTAAGCTCTTAGAAGCAACTAAGTAAGCGTATATTCCCTTTCAAGACCCTCCAGTCTATAAAAAGATTCTGTGAAATGAATTTGAACAGCTGATCAGCCACTGAGCTCCAGATTGTCACTTAACATTCATAATCAAACCGGCCTGTTATGACGTTTAACGATAATGGGGTCACAAAATCTCTCAATACCACCTGCCCAGGTCACATTCATATAAAAAATAATGGCAAAAAATAAATAATTTATACTTTGCATAAAGAAAACAGTTATTTATTTGGGGTGGGAGAAAAAATCGATTCACCTAACTATCGCGATTCTTTTTAAAACGATTTAAAAATCGATTGGTTTACCTCAGAATCGATTTATATTTAATTATTTTACTTTTCCTAAGAGGTGGTTGGGAGAAATTAGCGCTTTTTTAATTCCAACAGAGGGCGAAATGTATAGGTGTGTGTGACTTGGAGCAGCACCTAAAGCACATAAAACTAAACATGACTAAAATGCTATGCAAAGTAACAGCACTTTATTTTACTCATTTTGTTTAACATTTGACTATTATATTCATGTGCAAGTTCAGGGTTTTGGTACTTGAAAGTTTCATGGTTCAAGGTACTTTAAATATACACTGTGTATGTGAAATAAAAGTTCAGAAAGATGTGATGCATTGTTTTAGTTAATATGACTCATCATATACAGTCTCTTTTATGGGTATAATCAAGTATTTTCCATTGTCTAGTCTTTAATAAGCAAACAAAAATCACTATGTAATATCGAATCGCAATAGTTATATAAGCGCAATACTCAATTATCGCAATATTTATTGAATCGGCACACAAGTATCGGGATAGTATTGAATCGGCAGATTAGCGTATCGTCCCAGCCCTATTATTTATCAAGTTATATGTTGCCCTGTGATGGACTGGCCATCCATCCAGGGTGTTTCCCTGCCGGGAGGGTGGGTGGGCGGGCATTTGTAAGCCTCCGGGCTTTCAGGGCTGGTGTGCACTGCCCACACACACACCAAATCGCGACTCTCAGCATCGGGAGTGCGTCAGGCAGGGGAACAACAGGGCTGGTAGACAGTTCAGGGTAGACTGGTAAGTCCGAGGAAGGTGGGAGGAGAATAGGCATGTCCGCATAAATATCTGCCTCCCAGACTGTTTGGTCCCCAGAGTCCAGGGGACGCTCACCCTCAGCGGTGGTGCAGTGGGCGGGGCTTTTCTCTAAGGGGCTTTTGCTCCCTTGCATCATCCACCGTCGCGTGCTCCGTTGCTGGCTCTCACACCTGGTCTGACATCACAGGCTCGGGCTCCGGGGCAATCCTCACGCTCAGGCGATGGCTCATCGGTTGTGGCTGGCTCTGACTCAATGTCAGCGGTGGGCTCGGGCTTGGGCTCCGTGCAGCGGGGTGATGGTGGGCTGGGCTCTGGGTCCGGAGTGGACCTAGCGAGATCCTCCTCAGGACCGACGGTGAACGGAGATCCGTTTCTCGCCAGTATCCACTCCACAAAGGTGGCGAAATCCTCTCGAGGGCCGTCTTCGGACGACGCCGCTCTACACGTGGTGTGATAAGCGATGTCCAGAAACATCAGGTGTATAAAGTACCTGAAAGCCATACTCAAGTAAAAGTACAGATATCTTACCAGAAAATGACTTTGGTAGAAGTTTAAGTCACCGTTTAGAATATTACTTGAGTAAAAGTATGTGATATTTATTGTACTTAAGTACGAAAAGTATTTTTTAAATCTTAAACGTACTTTAGTATTGAAAGTAAAAGTACAAGTAAATGCAAAATGGAAAAGAAGCAAATAAATATATATATAAAAAAAATTCATACACAGCTTGAGTAGAATAGGAAGCACTTCATCCAGTAACTTAGTGTCTTTCATTCCAACATAAGAAAACATTTCTGAAATCTGCATCTGAAGTGGCATTTAGATGTATTTACACAGTTTAATGTATCTCAGAGGGGACATGGATGCATTTAACCTGCAGTTACAGATGCATAAATAGGCCTAATGTTTTGTTTTTAACATAAAACGTTGAATACTGATATTTGAAATAATTTAAAACATGAAAAAAATAGTCGAAATGTGAAATTAAAACCGCCAGTAAGTGACAGCAAGTGACTGTTAATGAGTGAGTCATTGAGATTCAACCGATTCATTCAAACGACTGATTCATTCAGAAACAAAGCATTTGACTGTGTTAATGAGTGAATCACTGAATCATATTACACCGATTCTTTCAAAAAGCTGATTCATTCAATAAGTAAACACCATCCATTGCTCAGAGATGCAAAACAGTGCTGTGATCTTTGTTTGGAACTATTTTCGTTAGCAGAATTGAGCAAAAACAAGCAATATTATGCCTAAAATGTAAGTCACTTATTGCTTTACTGAACTTGTATAAAATGATTATTAAATGTGTTCATGCTGATATCTGCGGAAAAACGTTACTCTTTGTGTGTTATTGATTAATTTAACTATATTAAATTATATAAATATAAAAAGCATACAGAAGCATTTTTGCCGTCTACAGTTTAGAATGCCTGGAATTTTGAGTTTTAATAAACTAATAAATCAACGTGCGTGCACTCTGTGTGTGATTTGGAGATTACCTAGTAACCTAGAAGTTACTTGATAATGTCAGATCGCACATCATTACAACAACACTTACCATATTATCGCAGATGATGCTGTGTATCGCACACTCCAGACTCGACTTGAGTGGAAAATGAATCATCCGCGGTTGTGCGCGCACTTGTTTGGTTTGCACATGAGAAAAGGTGTTTTTATGAGTCTAACTTGCAAACACCATACCACTGAATCGTCAAACCTGCTTTCCTGCAGTCCGTGTTTTTCTGACTTCTGACTATTTTGTAGTAAGTAACGAATATGCTTCGGGGAAATGTATCGGAGTAAAAGTATACATTTTAATTAGGAAATGTAGTGGAGTAAAAGTTGGCAGAAATATAAAAACTCAAGTAAAGTACAGATACTCCCAATAAATACTTAAGTACTGTAATGAAGTATTATTACTTCGTTACAATACACCACTGGAAACAGTCTAGTATGGCCCTCGACCGATCTTTCCCCCTGCTCCAGCAGGAGGAGGAGGTAATCCGGGCGGGATAAGTGGTCGAAGGGGTCCATGGAAAAAAAAAATTAAATACTGTACGAAACATGGAAAACAAACAGAGCAGAAACACGCTGTTAGACTTTTTGTAGGTTGGGTCTTCTGTCAAGGTTACTACTGTGAGGAGTCAAGGAACGCGGAGACAAAGGAGAAATACGAATAACCGTCTTTAATAAACCAAAACCAGGGGTAACACAGGGCAGGCAGAAACACACACGTAGCACATTACATGGACGACACCGGACAAAGGAATCACAGGACAGACTACACCTTACATACTAAACTAAACAAGGGTAATTGACGAGACACACCTGAACCAAATGAGCACAATCAAACAAGGGAGAAACTGGGTCACGGGGAGCACATGGGGACAGAAAACACAACAAAACAGGTCCAGGGATGTGACAATATTATATGGTCTTTTTTTTTTTTTTTTTTGCTCTGTAAAATTATAGATCTTTAGCTTTGTTGGTAGATTGTCCATAATAAGAGTAGAAGGATTGAGGATGCTCCGGCTATAGTCATTTATAATTTGACAGCACAGGCCTGTTTAATGGGCATGGGCAGTGTTGCGCGAGTTACGTAATCAGATTAGTTTTTTCAAGTAACTAGTAAAGTAACGCATTACTTTTTAATTTACAAGAGAATATCTGAGTTACTTTTTCAAATAAGTAACGCAAGTTACTTTTTTTTTCCAATTTATTGATTGACAGCTCTCCTGTCCCCATGTTGAGAGAAATCAGAAGATGTTACTGTAGTTCTGTAATAAATATGAATATGCATTAATTCATCTCACTCACACACACACAAAAAAACACAGATTCAGTGTCAAAAACCGATTAAAAAAATAATGCAACTCAGAATATGACGTAAACCTGCAATAATTAAATGTTAAACAACACAAATATGCTTTATGTATTTAATCCCATTCTATTAACCAATGTCTTTGCTTCTGACCTTCGATGATCCAGTTCAACCGTACTAATAAGAAAAAATTACTCTAGACAAACATTTGTGTCTTTTTTATTTAGTGTGTTGAAATTACTCTTCTTCTGCATTCTACTGTACGGA